ACCAATACCAATATTACCAATATCGGATCTAATACAAGCAAAAATATCAATATCACTATCAATACGAAAAGTAAATAAAATTTCAATACATATAAAAAATATCTCACAACTGAGAAYATCGCAAATCCTTAGTCGCTCACCTATTCATGACCACCCATTCTTAATATTATTCCCGCACTAYTCTTTACACTTCGGTCCACAATGCAACCATTACTTGACTAAGTCTCGTCAATCAYTACCTGCAATATTTGCGACCGAACTCCAAACCCATTGTTCGGGCTCAATGATTCCTCAATTGTTCTTGCTGTTGTTGTCGTATTTTAAACAGTTTACAGTTGAGTGCCAACGTGGACAACAAAGTTGAAAACAAACAGATAAACGTGAGAGCAACAAAAGCGAGGAGTCGCACACACACACACACACACGAAGGCGCGCCGACAGTGGCATAAACAAATAAGCTTGGCAAACAAGCGATCGGCGGCGTGAAAGTAGGACAATAGAAGCAAAGCAATGCCAAGCAGCAAACGCTAGTTGGGCCACACACAAGCTACAGGCACCCACAGCGACTGGGCTGCGAGACCGGCTCCTTGTGTAGGGATACCTTAGGGCCTGTCTCTTATACACATCTATAGCATAAAAGGGTATAAGAGTATCTTTTATCTCAATTTTGATGTGTGAGTTTGTATGGAAACTATATGCTTTAAAAATCCGCTTTCGGCGATTCCGACAAATGAGCAGCCTCTTGGGGAGGAAAGGATACTTACGAAATTTCAGTTCGATACCTCACACAGTGACTGAGACAAAGGGAAACGAAGATAACTGCCTTCTTCAGGTTATAAATATTAATGTGAACACTAAAGACCAAAGTTTYACCAGTAATCCGTGATAGTTACCGTTATAATCTTTGTTTTTTGAGTTGTAATGATTATTATTAACAAATGCCATAAAATTAATAGCTAGAATTCAATAACAACATAAATAACAGCCGAGAATAAAATTGAAATTTTTTTTGTTTAATACCAATATCAATAACCATAAATGAGTTGTCTATTACAGTAGAGAAAATGAAGAATAAAGACTAGATGTAWTTATGGTAAGGGTATAATTTCAAATTTCCAACTTTTTCAACAGGTATAACATTACTACATAACTTTACAAATACCCATATCATTACAAATTCCAGTTGATATTCTCGTACAATTACCAATAGCAGTACCATTACCAACAGCTGTACCAATATCAAACACAAAGTAATGTCATTATTAGCATTACCAATACAATAGTACTTACCGTACAATTACCAATACCAGTACCATTACCAATACTAGCACCAGCAATACCATCAATGCCAAACCATTACTTATCAATACTTATTG